GGTGCTACAAGATCTCTCTACATACCATTCTACAGACTAAAATGGCTATATCACTGGATACTCATTGCAATTAGCCTATATAGTACTCACTGTAGTAGCCTATATAGGACCAATGTCTCTGGTTATCTGTGTATGTTGTACATAATATCTGTTTGGGAGTTCTGCAGGAAATTAATGTTATCTGTCTTACGTTCTCATGCGTACAGACATATTATTTTTGCAACTGCTTTACAAAACCTGCCCCTGCTGACCTCAATCATATTTAATTCTTTCCACCTTGACAAAAAGAACCATTCCTAACTTTGAGGACTAGAAACATAACCTGCTTTAGCAAACAGGAACTAAAGAGTTCAAGATATTATTTGTTTCTCTCTATTTTGCTCTAGTCTAGACAGATAGATTCAGAGACATGCAGTGCTGCAGTGATACAGTTTGAAGTGCAGGTGCTCGGCATGACAGTCTTGCACCCACAATTATTCCCATCTCGCAAAGAATGCAAGCAGGGATGCTAATCTATAATACCAAACTTTTTATAGCAGTTTCAGGTTTATCCACATGGAGCAGTATTTTGCAAAATTAAGTGGTCTTAATTGTCTAACCAAGACCCATAAACATTCTTATACAGTGAGCCCTTGGGTTTGATTCCAGGATCCCCCATGGATACCAAACTCTGTGGATGATCATGTCCCATTAAATATAATGGGATAGTAAAATGGTGTCCCTTATATAAAATGGCAGAATCAAAGTTTGCTTTTTGGAATTGATACAATTTTAATATATTTTCAAGCCATGGATGCTTGAATCTGTGGATAAAAAATCTGTGGGTATAGAAGAGGGCTGACTGTAGTTTGCATTGCAGCAGGGGTAGCTCAAACAAAGTATGGTTGGTGGAGAAAATCCATCACCTGCCTTTACATTTTTGACTCAGAAGAGGTTGATAGTGGAAGATTATATTATTATCCTTCCTAATTAAAAGAAAAAAAATCCAGTTCTCTAATTCTATGAGCTCTGGGTACGCTACACCATTGAAGCAATATAGAATCAGCCCTCGATATCTACAGATTGTTTATCCACAGAGTCATAGAATCATAGAGTTGGAAGAGACCACAAGGGCCATCCAGTCCAACCCCTTGCCATGCAGGAACTCAAAATCAAAGCATCCCTGACAGATGGCCATCCAGCCTCTGCTTAAAGACCTCCAAGGAAGGAGACTCCACCAACCTCCAAGGGAGTGTGTTCCACTGTCGAACAGCTCTTACTGTCAGGAAGTTCCTCCTAATGTTGAGGTGGAATCTCTTTTCCTGCAGCTTCCATCCATTGCTCCATGTTCTAGTCTCTAGAGCAGCAGAAAACAAGCTTGCTCCATCTTTAATATGACACCCCTTCAAATACTTCAACAGGTCTATCATATCACCTTTTAACCATCTCTTCTCCAGGCTAAAC